TATTTAAATTGTTTAAATAAAAAAATTAAAAAATAAATCTCATAAGTAATGCTTTTACTATTACTATAGAAAAAGTCACAAGTTATGTTATGGTCTTGATTTTTTTATCATTTTCATTTATTTAAAGGTTAGATGCTGATTTGGTCTCTCAACTTTCATTTTTGAATTAAATTTATCCTTGAACTTAAAAAAATACTAAAATAATCCATAAACTTCAATTTTTAGAACCAATTTCATCCTTCCATCAATGGAAGTGCTAATGGAACATTAAGTTCCTAAAAAATAATATACTTTTAACGACATGTAAAAAAATGTGTCTCTTTTAATGATATGGCATTTGTTTCTCATCTATGTCAAATTATTATAATTTTATAATTCCACTTAATCATTTTAATTAGTTTGTACATAAAAAAATTTAAATTACTTAAATGCCCCCTTCTTCATCCTCCAACCCCTTTTCCTCTTTGCCACTGCCTTTTCCTCCTACAACCCTTTTTCTTCTCTTAGATTTGATCATCCCTCACTACTTTTATCACCATCTCCAGTTTTTTTTTTTCCTTCTCTTTCCCCTTGGGGTATGCTGGTTCTTTCAAACCCAATAGACACTGGGTTCTACCGTTGCGTTTGAACCCAATGGCTGCAGCAGGTGGAACCCAACAACTGCAGCGGCTAGAACCCATTGGCTGTTGGGTTCCAGCAGCTGAGTTCAAACACAGTAGTGGCCGCTGGGTTTCAGGTTCCAACGGTTGGAACCCAATTGCCACTAGGTTCGAACACCTAGGTTCCATGCGGATGCTAAGTCCAAACCCAACAAATTTTTTTGTTTTGTGCAAAAAATCAAAAAGATTTTTTTTTATTTTTTGTGGTTTTTGTTGTTTGATGATGATGATGATGAATAATTGATTGATGAAGAATGGTGATGAAAGTGGACTCGATCTTTGTCACCAATACCCGTGGGTCTCACTTAAAGGGAAGAGCAAAAGTGATGAGAATCCAATGTGGACAATAAAACTCCCCGTGGCATGTAATGGATAAGTAATTTTTCATGTCATTAAAGGTTTAAAACACAAAAATGCTTTTGTGGCAACTCAACGTGCCATCTGGCAATTCTGTCGACAGAAAGATGAAATTGGTTCCAAAAATTGAAGTTCAAGGATTGTTTTAGTACTTTTTGAAGTTTAAGGGTAAATTTGATCCAAAAATAAAAATTTAGGGACCAAACTTGACATTTAACCTCATGTAAATTCTATAACAATGAAATTTTTTGAAGATAACATGTAGTATAAAATTTTAAATTTTAAATTCTTAAATTCTACCTAATAATCTCATTATGTTATAGTAGAAATTAATTTGTAGATAGATAATGCTTATAAATGCGAGCTAATATTAAATTTATATGATATAAATAATGATTATGGGAACTTTTTTCATTTCTTTTGAGTTTTAATTTTAGTCATTTATTTGCAATTGGTGCTAATTGGATTAATCATTTATCTTATATATTCCAATATTTTACTGCTAATTTAGGTGTAAGAACAATAAATTAAAAAACTACAAAAAATAATTAAAAAATATAATATTATTATCAATTACTAGTACATATGAATCAAGTGACATTTAAGATTATATAAAAAAATTCTCAATTATTTTCCTCACAAATATTCTAAAACTGACAGCAAAATACTCTATCAAATTCAAACGGGAATTTCCTCCATTTTTTCTAGTAGTACCGTAGTAATAACAAGTATTTGGCCATGGTGAGGGGTGATTCTGTCAAAAGCACTGATACGCGGTGGCTGACAGATATGTAAAAGGATGGCCAGTGCAAGGGCATTTTCGGCAAGTCTGGCTTCAAATTTTAAAAGGGGAAGATTCTCTTAAATAAATAAGAGGCTAGTACAGGAGTGATTCAATATTGAATTTGAAAATTTTAAATTTTAAATTAAAGTTTCTAAACTTAAATCTTAAATTGGACAAGGGAAGATTTAAGAAAAGATAAAAATTATTTTTTTTATATAACATTAAATGTACAAAAAATAAAATAAAATAAGAGGCTAGTTGGGCGGAAGAAAAATATAGCCGTTCTCAAAACGTTAAAGACCATTATACCCTCACATAATTTAATTATCTTTCTTTCCACTCAACTTTAATTGCTTTTGATATTTAGACGTTAATTTTTTTTTAAATTATTTGTCATGGGCGGGTTTAAAACCCCCAGGAGGAGGATATGCACTTTTTTAATGGTACTAACCATTGGATCACAAGCGTCAAGTGAGATATTTAAACGTTAATTTATAATGAAAATTTAATAAAAACATATGAACCAGCCGGTAAAAACAAGCGTGAATTATTAAAAAAAAT